CGAGGGATCCAAGGACGGGGAGAGTGAGGAGAGGAAGTTGTACATTCTCAGGGCCCGCCCCAGCTTCCCTGTTCTCGGCACTTGGGGGCACCAGTGGTTACGGCGCCACTGGGGCAGCCCTCTTCCTGCCTCCAGCTCTCTCCGGTTTTCCTCAGAGCCCCCTCCCCTTCTCCCCTCTGGTCGGGGAGTAGGAAAGGGCTCGGCGCTGCCCCAGCCCCAGGTTAGCTCCCTGTGCCGTGCTACGCCTCTGTGAGCAGTCCTTCCACGAACCCCCTCAGCAAACCTTTGGTGCCTGCTCCTTCCCGCCACACCCAGCACAGACCCTCCCCCTTCTTGCCCATGTTGCAGCATCAGGATCTGCACCTAGCAATGAAGATGCCTGTAGCCCACACCAGGGTGCCTGGGACTGAGATCCGCCTCTGCTCCTGACTCCAGCTTCCTGCTAATTCAGACCCTAGAGGCAGGGGGATGGCTCAAGGAACTGGGTTCCTGTCAGGGGAGACCTGGGTTGTGTTTGGGTCCTGACTGTGGTCTCAGTGGCATTTGGGGTAGTGAACCAGCAGGTGGGATCGGTCTCTCTCTCGCTTTCTCTCTCCTTCCTCACTGCCTCTCAAATACTTACTCACTAAAAAAGAACCAGGGTGCTGGGGCTGGCCCTGTGGCGCAATGAGTTAAAGCCCTGGCCTGAAGCGCTGGCATCCCACATGGGCGCCGGTTCTAGTCCCAGCTGCTCCTCTTCCAATCCAGCTCTCTGCTGTGGCCTGGGAAAGCAGTGGAAGATGGCCCAAGTCCTTGGGCCCCTGCACCCGCATGGGAGACCTCGAGGAAGCTCCTGGCTTCGGATTGGCGCAGCTCCGGCTGTTGCGGCCATCTAGGGAGGGGGAGTGAACCAGCCGATGGAAGACCTCTCTCTTTCTCTCTGCCTCTCCTCTGTGTAACTCTTTCAAATAAATAAAATCAATCTTTAAAAAAAAAAAAAAAAGAACCAGGGTTCTGAGCTCTCTCAGACCTGGCAATGTCTCTTCTCAGGTGCTGAGCACTTGTGTCCGGAGCCTCGTGCAAAATGACTAAGTGGGAAGTTATCCCGTGCTCTGCCACCGGGAGACATTGCACCAGTACTCTCCTGTTGCTCATCCTCATTACCTGCGTTTGTGTATGTGTTGCCTTCCTGTCCCCATGCATCTCATTTCAAATTCCCTCTCTTTTATTCACGCATGCGGGATGACTCACAAGCGGGAAAGTCAACAGGGCTCCTTGCTGTGGGAACAGGAGAGGGCCCACCTCCCGGGGCTCACGGGAGACCACAGGTGTGACATTTGGAAGTGCTTAGACAGCAGCTGAGACTGAGCCGGCCCTGTCCTGACTCTCACCGGATGGACGCAGCTCAGCCCACTCTCTAGTGTGCAAGGGGGAAGGGGGCCGGGCAGGAATTCCTAAGCCCACTCCTCACTTCCAAGGCTTCTGTCCACACCCCTTCCCCCTTCACACCCCACCGCTGAGTCCTTCTCTGACTCCTTTCATCCCGGGGGGGGGGGGGGGGGGCAAGCAGAGCAAGCTGGGATTTTTCCGGTTTGCAGCTCTTCCATCAAGCCCAGAGGTTTGTGAATGGGGGCCTGGGGTGGTGGGGAGGGTGCTGCTTTGGGCCACGCCCTCCGCCTTGCTCGCACCTATTTAAGCTTCAAGACTCTGTTCCAACAAAGGCTCCCAAGCCTTTTACAAGCTGAAAATCCCTGCTTTGATGAGGGAGTGAAGCCTCAGCCTCTGAAACTCCCAGTCCTAATCTCCCTCGGCCCTGCTGGCCTCCTCTCCTCCGCTCAGACAGCCCGAGTTCCTCCCCACTCCTGCCAGCCAGCACAGCTTTGTGTGCTTATCTGGGGGTGTCCCTCCCAGGCACAGGCGGAAGCAGCAGACACTGTCAGCTTCATTCCCAGGCCCCGGGGGAGATAAAACTGCAACACTGTTTCCCCACCTGCCTGTTCTTTGGACTCCTGCTGGCACTGGATCGGGCCACTGCAGTGCTTCCAACCGTCCCAGGGGGCCGCCCCGCCTGACGGCTCTGGGCCAGGCTTGGTCCCAGAGGTCCCAGGGGCTACAAGGCAGCAGCAGCTCTACGGGACTGAGTGAGTCCCAGGGAGGAGGCCCCAGCGGCTGGAACTGAGGCTGGGATACGGAGGCACAGGAACACGTGAAGGGAGCGCCCTTCCTCCACAAGCCCCCACCTCCAGACCCCTGCCTGGAGCGCACTGATCTCACACTGCCACAGACCCCCCCACACACACACCACATTTGGGTCTTGGGCTCAAATACCACCTCCTTAGAAATGCTTTTAAGACCAAGGCAAGAGGGGCCGGCATCTGTGGCTTAGCCTACAACGCCAGCATCCTATACTGGCTGCTCCACTTCTGATCCAGCTCCCTGCAAACATGCCTGCGAAAACAGCGAGGGACGGTCCCAGAGCTTGGGTCCCTGCCACCCGCGTGGGAGACCCAGAGGAAGCTCAGGGTGGCCATCTGGGGAGTGAAGCAGAGGATGGACGTTCTCGCTCTCTGTCTCTCCCTCTCTCTGTAACTCTTTCAAATAAATAAATAAATCTTGAAGAGGAGGAGGAGGAGGAGGAGGAAGAGGAGGAGGAGGAGGAAGAAGAAGGCGACGACTCAGGCAAGAAAAGCCCCAACCTTGGGCCCTGAGCTCTCTGGTCCACTTTCAGCCATGTCCCTTTCTACACAGCAAGAAACCCATAAACTAAGCGGATGTGTCCACCTGGAGTTCCTGCCTCTTGCTGCCCCCCCCTTTTTAAAAAGATTTATTGGGGCTGGTGGATTAAGCCGCTGTCTGTGATGTCAGCATCTGTTTTGAGTGCCGATTTGAGTCCTGGCTGCTCCATTTCCGATCCAGCTCCCAGCTAATGACCCTGAGAAAGCAGCAGAGGATGACCCAAGTGTGTGATCCCCTGCCACCCACGGGGGAGACCTGGATGGAGTTCCAGGGTCCTGGCTTGGCCTGCCCCATTCCCAGCTGTTGTGGCTATTTAGGGAGTGAACCAGCAAATGGAAGATCGATCTATCTTTCCCTATCACTCTGCTTTTCAAATTAATACATCTTTAGAAATAAAATAATATTTATTTGAAAGGCAGAGTGATAGAAAGAGAGAGAGAGAATCTCTGGTTTGCTGGTTCACTACCAAATGGCTGCAACGGCCAGGCCTGGGCCAGCAGCCTGGAGCTCCATCTGGGTCTTCCTTGTGGGTGGCAGGGGCCCAAGTACAGTATCATCTTCCCCTGTTTTTCCCAGGTGGAGCTGGAAGGAAGCAGAGCAGCAGGTACTTGAACTGCCCCTCCAGTAGTAGGTCTGGCGTGGCAAGTGGTGGCTTAACCACCATGCCACAGGCCAGCCTGCTCTCACCCCTTCCTTGAGCAGACTGTGGGCACCTGAGACCTAGCACTCACTGCCCCAGCGACAACGGGTCTGCACGAGTCCCCACGGGCCTTCCAGTGTCTGGCCCCTTGAGGAGCCGATGCGTGGTCAAGAGGTGGCTATCTGTAGGCCGTGTGGACGCGGCTCAGATGTGCAGCCTGGGGTGGCACAGGTATGGGCACAAGGCTCTGAAGTCTGGGGTGGAGCTGGGGTACGTAGGAGGAGGAGGAAGCCAGGGGGCCAGCGACCATCTACCCTCCCAGCCACCACATTCCAGCACACATCTCAGAACCCAGGGACTTGACCACGTGGCCTTGGGCTGGCGCTGCGGCTCGGCTAAGCCTCCGCTTGCAGGGCTGGCATCCCCATGGGCACCGTTTGGAGTCCTGGCTGCTCCACTTCTGACCCATCTCCCTGCTAATGGCCTGGGAAAGCAGTGGAAGACGGGCCAGGTGCTTGGGCCCCTGCACCCACGTAGGAGACCTGGAAGAAGCTCCTGGCTTCCGCCTGGCCCAGCCCTGGCCATTGTGGCCATTTGGGGAGTGAACCACTGGATGGAAGACCTCTCTCTCTCTCTTTCTGCCTTTCAAATAAATAAATAGAATTTAAAAAGGAAAAAAAAAAAAACAAGAAAAATGTTGCATTCCAGGTTATTGTAAACATACACATTTTAGAATAACAACATAGGAATTGTGTGTGACTTTATGTAGACACCACGCATGCATGGGTCTCCGGTAATGAGAGGTGGGCTTGTCCCTGACCACCCTGTCCAAAACAGCCCCCACCCCCCACTCGATCCCACCCAAACGCGAGTTTCTTCATTGCGCTGTTACTGTCATCCGATCTACACCACCGGAACCCAAAGCCCCCCGCCCCCGGCCTCTGTGTCCTCGCCTCCTTCCTGGCACCTGCAGCAGCTCCGGCCCTCGGGCCTCCACCCAGACGTCTGGCCCCGGGGAAGCGGACAAGTCTGAGCGGGAAAATCCACTCGCACCTTGCTCCCCCGAGCACCACACGCGGGAGGGGCCGAAGCGGCGGACGGCGGCGGGGATCCCGACGGGAGGAAGCCCCCTACCAACACCCCGGGGGTGGCCGGTCTGCAGAGGGCCCCCCACCCCGGTCGCTGGCGCCTCGGGAGGGGCGGGCGCGTGCACCTGACGGCTCTGGCCGCCACGTTATCGGCCACTACCCTGCCACGCGCCCCTCTTCTCTGCCTCCGACTGCAAGTCACCCCGTCTCATCGTCGGCGGGGTCCCCTGGAAACGCGGGAACCGCTACCCCCGAGTCCAACGGACTCCCCTCCCGTTGGATACGGGGGCCGCGAGAGGCCAAATGTCCTCCCCGAGTCCCCGCGGCACTCTCGGGCGGGCGCCTGGCTCCTTTCGTGTGGGGCTTGGTGGGGGGGTCCCAGACGCCCACGTTCCCAGCCCCCCGGGGTCTTGAGGGCGGGAAGCCGGCGAGCGCCGCTCAGCGCGCAAACCGCACGCCGGCTCCGGGAGGCGGCCGGGCCCGCCCAGCGAGGGGCGGGGCCGCGCCGGGGCGGGGCGGGGGCGGGGCCACGTGGCTCCGCCCCGCGGGCTGAGGCCCGAGGAGCCGCGGCACCGCCCCGGCACCGACCGGTCCCAAACTTGTGCGCGGTGGTGGGCGCAGCCGCCGAGGATGAGGAGGTGCGGCCGCCGCTCGGGGCCGCTGCTGCCGCTGCTGCTGCTGCTCGCGGCGCCCGGCGCCCTGGCGGCCCCGCGATCGGCGCTCTACTCGCCCTCCGACCCGCTGACGCTGCTGCAGGCGGACACGCTGCGTGGCGCCGTGCGGGGCTCCCGCAGCGCCTGGGCCGTGGAGTTCTTCGCCTCCTGGTGCGGCCACTGCATCGCCTTCGCCCCGACGTGGAAGGCGCTCGCCCGCGACGTCAAAGGTGAGCAGCCGCGCCGCCCCGCCACCTGCCCGGCAGGGGCCGCTACCCCCGCGCCCCACATTCCTCCGCACCTGGCCCCCTCCTCCTCCCCGCACCCCGCACCGTCCTCACTCCCGCCCCTCCTCCCAACCTCTGCTTTGCCTCCCGGCCCTGTGCGCTCTGCACTGCTTGCCCTGCGCCCCCTGGGCCCCCACCCCTCGGAGGGGTCCTCGTGGCTCGTGTCCGGCCTTGTGGGCAGTCCCCTTCCTCTCGCCCCGGGCCCTGGCCGCATCCTGCCTCCCCTACCACCTGTCTCCACCCCGGGGCCGGTCCACACAGCCTCTGCACTTGGCTCAGGCTGCTCCTTGCGAACCCGGCCTTCCAGCTCCCCAGTTTCTGGGCCAGCTCAGTCTGACTGTGTCTTAGTTCATGCTCGCTCTTAGACCCGAAATGGTTCGGCTTCAGGTGCCCACTCACTGGTCTGGCCACGAAAACCCTTCGTCCTGCATAGCTAGGGGCCATGGGTTGTGAGCCCGCCATTCATTTAAGAGCAGCCTGAGGGGTAACGGGACAAGAAACCACCGAAGTATATGGGGAGAGAGAGGGATTGAGTTTTGCAGGTGTACCCTATTACAGATACGTGAGCATTGCGCCATGCCTGGCTAACAACAGTAAGAAATGTTTACCGACACCTCACTGATGAGCCCTGGACACAGGCACCTCACAGCTCCCATTGGGCAGGAGTGGTGCTGCCGATCCGCCGCCCCTGGCAGCTACATCCAGATTGTGGTGCCAGGTCATTGAGCGAGAGCCACGGGCATCTTCCGGACTTCTGGAACAGGCGTCTTTCGAGAGAAAGGAGAACTGGAAAGGAGGCTGTGTCTCCTGGTGTGCTTGCAGGGCGGTGACCGAAGTGGCTAGACGGAGCCCTGTGTAGGTTGTCGTGGGTGTGGGCCCAGAAAAGGCCTTTTTGTTTATTTATTTTTTTTAAAGATTTATGTATTCATTTGTTTGAAAGACAGAGTGACAGAGGAAGAGACAGAGTAAGTCTTCCATCTGCTGCTTCACTCCCCAAATGAATGCAGCAGGCAGGCCTGGGCCAGGCTAAAGCCAGGGGCCCAAGCACTTGCGCCACCTTCTGCTATTTTCCCAGGCACATGAGCAAGGAGCTGGATGGGAACTGGAGCAGCAAGGATTTGAACTTGCACCCTGCTTAGCCACTACACCGGCTCCTGGAAATTTCTTTTTTTAAAAAAATGTATTTGTTTATTTGAAAGAGTTACAGAAAGTGGGGGAAGACACAGAGCAGAGAGATATCTTCTATCTGCTGGTTCACTCCCTAAATGGCTGTCATGGCTGGGATTGGGCCAGGCTGAAGCCACGGGCCTGGAACTCCATTTGGGTCTCCCACATGGGTGGCAGGAGCCCAGGCACTTGGGCCATCTTCTGCTGTTTACCCAGGCACATTAGCAGGGAGCTGCAGCCAGGACTTGAACCTGCGCTCATATGGGATGCTGGCGTCACAGACAGCAGCCTAACTAGCTGTGCCACCGCCCCAGCCCCCTGGAAAAACTTTTCTGAACAAAACTTAAAAACCCCTCTGCAACCTGCATTTCACATGGGCGTGCATACCTCCTTGGCGCCATCGCCATCGTCCAAACGTGCCGTCTCCCAGCAGCCCTCACACTCACATCTGGCCAGGGCAGGAGGAAGGAAGACGTGGGCCAAGGTACAGAGCACAGGGCAGCAGTGTCGGAGGACACACTCAAAGAGGTCTGTGCTGGCTGCGTTTGGACGCAGGTCAGGGCAAAGATTAGTTTCCAGCTGACTCAGGTGTTTGGACTCCTCGCAACCCAGAGTTTTCCTCTGAACTGCACATCCAGATGCCGGCCCCGCCTGCCTCTTGGCGGTGATTGCCACTTTCGGAAGCGGTCGGTCTCTCTCCCGTGTGTGGAGTGAGTCTCTCCCGGAAAAGTAAAAGCAGAAACCTGACCGTGAAAGACAGTGGAAGGCGCAAGGTCCAGAGATGAACCGGGGTGCATAGGAGCTGGGAGATGGACGTGGAGATGAGGTCTCCGGTGAGGCTCGGAGGTGGGTGGCCCTGAGTCAGGGTCACGGTCAGGGGAGGCACAGTCTGGTACCGGCCGGAAGTGCAAAATGTCCTCTGCTCCTACCCTAAGGGGTGTTTCCTCGCCAGGCCGTGCTCAGAGGCTAGGGCTGGTCTCACCCCACTGTGGGCTGAAAACGCCTGGCTGTGGCCTAGACCAGGGCTGCGTTCCCAGCACCCTGGGCTGTGTGAGCCTGGCACATGCCCTGGGCTAATGGTTCAGGTGTCTCGGGGCGGGGGGTGGGGGGGGAGAAGAAGGGAATTTTGCAATCCTGCCCAGCTGGCTGCAGGCATCTAATCTGACTGGATAGGTCTCCTTTCTTCTACAACTTGGGTGGTAGGTTCCTGGGGCCAGTTGCTGCCTGAGGGAGGGGGGGCAGAGAGCTTGACCTGGCCTGCCCCCGTCATCCCCCCCTACTCCCATTGTCCCACCAGGAGTCCAGTGTAGACCTTCATCACTATTCACTGGCTAATCATTCTGCAAATATTTATTGAGTGCCAAAGCAGTGTTTATATTACAGCTAGGAAATTGAGCTGCCCACAGCAGGAAACTTGGCAACCGTGGGGAAGCTGTGTTTGAAGAGGGCCAAAGGAGTGGCTAAGCCATTTCTTGTGGTAGGAATTCAGGGACAGGGAGAGGCAGGGAGGACTGATCTGGTCACCGAAGGCCTTCATTCAGGCAGTCACTCATGACATTTGCCTTATGCCAGCGCTTTGCTAAGTAAGGGCCTTTGTTGTGTGTAATCTTTACCTGAGAAAATACCCAAGCCACTGTTGACCCCATTCTTTCCTGCTGTCCAGAGCCTGGCAGAGGGCCGGCGAGGGGGAGAACGACACGTGCCGAGCCGTGGGGATGAGACTTGGGAGGCGGGCGTGTGTGCACGACAGCGGGGAGTGCTGGTTTGGCCCCCTTTCTCCTCCAGGGCACACATGATGCCTCCTCCTTGTATCCCTGGCACACCCGGCAACAGAGCCTGATCCGGCATGGGAGCCCACGGAACACTCGGGGTGGCCGGTGGCCTGAGCCTCCCGGGCTTCCAAGTGGGGATGTGGGCCGTGGAAACTTGTGCAGGTGCAGAGAGCCTCCTGACTCAGATGTAGGTGTCAGCCAGGCCCGGGGGTAGGGAGGGGGTTTCATCCGTCCCATGACCTCACTGCCCAGAGCCTTCAACCAGGAGGCAGGAAGGACGTGATGGTGACCGCATGGCCCCGAGGAGCTGGGCATGGATAGGCCAATTCCGGGTCTGGAGAAGTTCCGGAGACTTGGGCCCGGGAGGGGCCGCTACCTGGGACAGCAGCAGCAGGAGCCCCCCTCTCCCCCAACACTCACAGCTGTCTGGGCTTTTCCTGTCCCCAGCCTCCCCTCTCTCGTTGCCTGTATACTTGGGAAGTACAAATCCTCCGCCCAAGGCAGCCATTGCAATGGATTTCTGTTTTCCCCAAGAACAGTGCTGGACAGAGCCTTGCTGGCCTCCTGGTGGTGTCCGGCCATGGAGGGAGGGCGGCCTTTCAGCCAGCAGAGACACTCACTCCCAAGGCTCCCGACCCCTACTGAATACAGCCTTGCGACACGAGCAGGACAGGAGCCCGGGCTGGTCCCCTCGGGCCCTTGTCCCGTCACCGGTTAAAGGGCAACACTGCAGCAGATGGCAAGGCCCCAGCCGGCGCCCGCTTGCTCACTGCACGGTCGGGCTCAGGGTGAGGTCTGTTAATGAATAGGGCAAAGAGAGAGCATTTCTGTGCCCGGACTCCCACACGGCTCTGAAAGGAAGCAACAGGGCTGGGCCAGAGGGCCAGCACCTGCTATCTGGTGTGCTTCTCCCCTGCTGTGTGTGGTGGGGGTGCCCTTGGTTGAGGGCCAGCACTTGCTATCTGCTATGCTTCTCCCCTGCTGTGTGTGGTGGGGGTGGTGGGGTGTGGTTGGTCGCTGAGCCAGAAGGTTAGTGGATTCAATTCTTTTCTCGGCTACCTGCTTAAGTTTTTAATTTGCCTTTTATAAAGGGTCTTTTAAGAGAGAGAATAACTTTTTTTGAAATCTTAGAAGCTTCTGTACATGCGTAGGCATCTTTGGTTCATAGGCCTAATTTGGGGCCCTCCTTGCAGTTTTAAATGTATTGTTTAAAATTTATTTGAAAGATAAAGAGAGACACACACATATATGGAGAAAGAAAGAGGTATTTTTTAAAAAAAAAAAGATTTATTTTATTTGAGTTACAGAGAAAGGTAGAGCCACACACAGAGAGAGGTCTTCCATCCACTGGTTCACTCTCCATATGGCCGGAGCTGAGCAGAGCCAAAGCCAGGAGCCAGGAGCTTCTTCTGGGTCTCTCGTGTGGGTGCAGGGCTCCAAGCACTTGGGCCATCTTCTACTGCCTTCTCAGGCCATAGCAGAGAGCTGGATCGGAAGTGGAGCAGCTGGGACTGAACTGTCTGTCACCCATATGGGATGCCGGCACTGCAGGCCACAGCCCCCGCCCCAAGAAAGATCTTCTGTCCACTGCTTCACTCCCTAAATGTCTGCAGCTTGTGGGGCTGAGCCAGGCTGAAGCCAGGTACCTAGAACTCAATCCAGGTCTCCCACTTGGGTGGCAGGAACCCAAGTACTTGGGCCATTATCTGTAGCCACCTCCCCCCCAAAAGGTGCACATTAGCAGGAAGCTAGAATCGGAAGCAGAGCTGGAGCCCAAACCCAGGCACGCTGATAGGGGATGTAGGTATCCCACGTTATACCAAATGTCTGCCCCAGGGCCTCATTTTATTTTTAAATATTTATTTATTTATTTGGAAGTCAGAGTTTCAGAGAAAGAGGGAGAGAGAGAGAGAGAGACAGAGACCAATCTTCCATCCATTGGTTCACTCCCCAAATGGCCACAATGGCCAGGAGCCAGGAGCCAGGAGTTTCATCCAGGTCTCC